CATTAGCATACAGCTGCACTGGTTAACCCGGCCGGCCGGTGTTTGCTCAGGTCCCGAGCGGGGAGGCTGGTGGGGAGAGCCCAGATCTGCAGGAAGGCTGAATGGGAGGGGAGGACGGCACGCTCCTGGGGACAGGGCTACAAATGACCTTTTAGGCTTGAAAAGGAGAAAAGAAAAAGAAGAAAAAAAAAAAAAGGATGGAGGAGGTGGGAAGGCAAGTTCTCACAAATGCACAGCCCGCCACACAGCTCTGCTTTTGGGGAGGGACAGAGGTCAGCCCCCCGTGGGTCAGGAAGGCTGTGAGCAAAGGGTTAGGGGATGGGGGACCCTCTGGTGAGGAGGGGACAGCTGGGGGACAGGGACCTTAGCCCATTGGCTGCAGGGCCAAGGATGCCCATGGTCATTGTGGCCCTGGAACACGTGCCACTGCTGGGGTGGGACAGGGTCAGTGCTGCGCACAGAGAAGGAGGACATCACCCCCAACCAATGTGGGGTCCAGCCAGCATCTCACTGCTGGTCCCCATTTCCCCCAGGTGCTCAGGGAGGGGTCAGGCAGCTGCTGGGGGTACGAGCTGACCCAGAGCAGGGGGAGACCATCCAAGGATGCTCAAGATGACCCCATCACAAGCCCTTTCTCATCCACCCCGAGACACGTGGTGCCCCGGTACCTCCCCCCCAAGGCTCCAGCCCTGCCTGGAGGGGGACAGGGGAGGCAGGGGACACACAACCTCTGCGCAGGCGAGACAGAAAATGTTTGCTTGATTAGCTCAGAAACGCCGTCCAGCAACTGTGCCTTCAGCCACTCCAAAAATAACCCTGCAACTAATCCCCCGGCTCAGCCGCTATAAATAGACCACAGGGACAATTGTTTATTACTCGCCCGCACCGAAAGGCTTCATCCTAACGAGGCATCTTCCCTCTGGCCTCTCCCCATGTACATTCCCCTAATTTTCCTGGTGCGGGTGGACCAGGCGGCACCTTGGGGACCAGGATAGGGGCACACAGCCCTGCAAGTCACCTCGCAGGGGCTACTGGGGCCTCGCAGGTTCCCCACCTCCCTCCCAGCCCCACCACAAAATACAATTAAAACTAAAAAAAAAAATTAAAGCCTCTATTTTTTAATTAATTTGTCTGCATTTCGTAGGTGAGGGGTCTGTGCCCTTCCTGCTCAGCCCCCTTGCCCCGGGGCTGCAGGGGAGAGGAGCAGAGGTGCCAGCCGAGCCTGAGAGGGGACAGGCCAGGAAAGGATGGGGACAAGAAAACCCCATGTTGGCGTGACAAGAAAAAAACACGGATCAGCCTTCGGCATCCCCGATGCAGGGCATCAGGCATCAGGGCAGCGCCCGGATTTGCAGTGTGGTAAAGTGGGATGGGACATGGTAACTGAGCTGTCACCTACCAAGCCACCACCTCCAGACCCAAAAGCAGCAGGGCCAGGCCCCCATCCCTCTCCCAGGCAGAAAGCACCCGAAGCCCTTACACCCACTCCCCTCTACCTCTCCCTGACTTGGCCCCCATGCCAGCCGTGGCACCGAGGGGTGCCAGGACCTCTTGGGCCCCCCCGCAGTAACTTTTCCTGCGGGGTGCAGGAGAGGAAGGGCCCGCTGCCCCCCCCAGCCCCTGCAGGAAACCTCATTGTTCTCAAAACTGCAGCTTCAAGAAACACAGGATGCCAAATCCCTCCCGAACAATAGCTGCCACCGCTCCATACAGCCCGGCACAATGCGTGGCCCCCGCATACAGGGACTGAGAGGCACCCGGGGTCCCTACGGCTGGGATGGGGTCAGCCCCCCAGCTGCCTGCAAGGAGCTAAACCCCAAGAGCTATTACTATTAAAAGACTAACATAAAGCCTTTTCTTTTTTTTTCTTTTTTTTTTCCCCTCCCTCTCATTTCTCCTTTCGTGGTGACTCATTTCCCCCTCCAACAACCGAGCTTGTGGGTCGCTCACAGCTGGGTGCTGGGCAAGGCATCCCACCAGCCAGGGCCACCCCGGGGTCATCCTGTCTCCCTCTGCCCCCAGCTGTGCTGCCTG